CTAGGTAGAATAATTAAGAAAGGCCTTTCTGAGGAAGCGTCATTTTAGCTTAGTCCTAGGGGAAGAAAAAAGAGTCAGGTTTACAAAGATATAGAGTAAGAGTGAGCCAGACATGGGTAAAATCATGTACAAAGGCCTTTTGGCAGGACTGTGCTTGGCATGTTCAATAAAATAGCAGGAAGCCAGTGTGCCTGTAGTGGAGGAAGAGAGAAGAAGCATGTTAGGAAATGAGACCCAAGAGGCAGTGGGAGACCAAATCATGTAGTGCTTTTTAGGTCTTATTAAAGAGTTTGTGTTGTATTCTTGTTGTGATGAGAAGTAATTGGCAAGTTTTGAGTAAGAGCGTGGCATGATCTGACGATGTATTAGAGGATCCCTCTGGCTGCTAGACTGTAGCAGAGCGAGAGTCAAAGCAGAGAGACCAGTTAGGAGGCTACTGAAGTCATCTGAGAGAGGATGATCATGGCTCAGACCACGGCAGAGGCAGTGGAGATGGTAAAAAAGAAAAGAAAAGAAAGTGTTCAGATTTGGGATATATTTTAGAGGTAGCATGAGTTGGACTCAGTGGATTGGATGTGGAGGGTGAGAAAAAGGAAAGGATACAGAAGTGCTCCTAGGCTTGGGTAAGGCTGTACAGGGGAACCATTTCCAGAAGAGGAAAGACTGCAAAGTGTTATATGGCAGTGGAATTACTGGGCCCTCTGCCTCTCTACCAACGTCTCTGTGTTGTGATGCTAACAGATCCTGTAAGCCCTGTCTGGCTAGAGTAAATCAAAAGTGCCTAGGTAATAAAAGTCCAAGCCAAGGATCTTAGAACCCCATCCATATCTGGGAGATGAACAACACGGGGAAAACAGTATTTCAGACTTACTCTTCAGCCTATATAATTTCCCAGCAATATTTTCACTATTGATGAATGAAATCTCTACCACCCACTGGCCTAAGACAGAGTCGGTCACCCACCTAAATGACATGCTCAGTCACTCAGAAAATATGCTATTATATGAGCCTTTCTGATATGTTCTATGCTGGCTATAAAAGCACCATGGCTGTGCCAACTCAAAGAAATGTGTATCTGAAAAAATTCAAAAGAAAAAAATGTATGCTTCAGAGTCTAGAGGGTACAAGTTTCCAGGCCAAGAGCTCTGAGTATGGTCTGACAAAATGTCTGCTCTCACACATAGAAAGATGCTCAATGTCACTAGTCATAGGAAAATGCAAAGCAAAACCACAGTTAAGTATCACTGCATGCTCACTAGGACGGCTATAATTAAAAAGATAGACAATAACACGTGCTGGTGAAGATGTGGAGAAATCAGAACCCACATACACTGATGATGTGGATGTAAAATGATGCAGCCTCTTTGGAATATGGTCTTTGAGCTCCTCAAAATGTTGATCTAGAGTTACCATATGACTCAGTAATTCCACTCCTAGGTATATTCCCAAAAGAAATGAAAGTGTATATTCACACAAAAACTTGTACCCAAATGTTCACAGCAGCATTATTCATAATAGCCAAAAAGTGGAAAGAACTCAAATGTCCATCAACTGATGAATGGAAAAATATGAGATGCATCCATACAATTGAACACTGTTCGGTAATGAAATGGAATGAACTGCAGATACATGCTACACGTGGATGAGCCTTGAAAACATTATCTTAAGTGAGAGAAGCCAGACGCAAAAGGCCACATATTGTAGGATTCCGTTTACATGAAATGTCCAGAATAGGCAAATCCATAGAGACAGAAAGCAGATTAGTGACTGCCAAGGGCCGAGGTGTGAGAGGAGAAATGGAGAGTACGGGGTTTCTTTTTGGGGTGATGAAAATGTTCTGGAATTAGATAATGGTGATGGTTGCATAACTCTGTAAATATACTAAAAACCATTCAATAGTACACTTTAAATGGGTGAATTTTGTGGTATGTAAATCGTGTTTCAATAAAGCTGTTTTCTTTTAAATATCTTTTCTCAAAGGGCCAGTCCCACAAACTCCTAGAACAGCATTGTCCAACAAAATTTTATATGGTGATAGAAATGTTCTATATCTGCACTACCCAATATGGTTGCAACTAGCCAGCTGTAGCTATTGAGCACTAAAAATGTGTTACTGAGGGCTAATTATTTTCTTTTACTTTATTTTAATTAATTAAAACAAATAGCCATGTGTTGCCAGTAATTAACATATTGTACAGCTCAACTCTAGAGTTTATACAAAAATTTACAGTTTCTATTCAAAGTTCATCCTCCATTTCTTTCTCACCAAATGAGTTCCTCAAGAAAATATGGAGCTTTTTCCTGGATCCTGGCTACACAAACACCTTTCAGATAAAGAGCTTCTTTACCTTTCCACTCTGACCACTGTGTCCTCTACAGCATACTGACTGATTTTCTGACATCGCTCTAGGGCCCTCCTGGTCAAGGTGTCTTTGAATATGTGAGAACTTCTCAAGAAAGTTGACTCCAGCCCAGACTGACCATCCAACGTGGGAGCAAAAGGTACTCACCATAGAGGCTGCCTTCGGCACCCTGAGATCATGTGTCACAAAATTCCTCCCTCCCACTTCAAGAATGGTCCAGAACACATGACACTCTTCTGCCCAGCAAAGTTTGTCCTACTCGTGTGTGCATGTGTGTGTGTGCACGTGTGTGTGTGTGTGTGTGTTATGGGGGGATTTGGGGACAACTACTCTAACCTTATGCCTTTAACCCAAACCTACCCACCTACCCATCATACAGCCATCCAAAGAAGCAGCATGTTATGAACTGAATGTTTGTGTCCCCCCAAAATTCATGTGTTGAAGCACTAACCCCCAATGTGATAGTATTAGGGGGTATGGACTTTGAGAGGTGATTAACTTTAGATGAAGTCTTAAAGGTGGAGCTCCCATGATGAGATTAGTGCCCTTATGAATAGGAACAAAACAGAGTTCTTTCTCTTAGCCATGTGAGGACATAGGGAGAAGACAGCCATCTGCAAGACAGGAAGAGGGCCCTCACCAGGAACCGAATCCACTAGCACCTTGATCTTGGACTTTCCAGCCTCTGGAACTGTGAGAAATAAATGTTATTTAAGCCATCCAGTTCATGGCATTTTATTATGGCAGCCACAGCTAAGACAGAGCACCAGGAAACTAAGTCCTACTGACGGCCTAAGTCCTGGGCCCTTCTCTTTTCTGCTTTATTCTTTACCTCCTGCTCCATTCTGCAACTTTCAGCTCCTGACCTCAGTTTTCCTCTCTTTTTGATGACCCTGCTCTTATCCTTGGACTTTAGACAGATTTGGTTTCTACTTCTTGACCGTTAGTATTCTTCTGTGGACACAGTTTGGCTTCATACTCTGGCTCTATCCAGTTAGAGGATCTCTGAGTCACCCTCTGCTTGATCTGGCTTTAATCTCTTCCTGACAATGGCCCTCACAGATGGGAGGCTGGTGACTCATCTGGAGATTGAAGGGGACTGAACCTTAGTTACACTATTATTTTAAGGACAGGTTTTTTTCCAGGAAGAAAGTGATGAATTTCTCACCAATTGAAAGACAATTATACTTAATTGTTTGATAACCAAAAAGAATCATTGCTTTGACTCATGAATTTGAGACTGAAACAGTCTGGAAAATCTTGCGATGCTTTGAAGTGACCTCTGCAGGTTTAAAATCTGCACATTTATCGTTATTTTCACTGACCAACGACATTCTTCACAAAACCCATCTAAATTTTCTGGTACCACACATTTTTACACTTTTTCTTCCATGACTACACTAGACTCCTATATCCCTCTATTCCTAGATTGCTCCATTCCATACCCCATGACCCCTCACAAAAACCCTCTAGAGTTTGTGTCACATACACCACCGCCACATAGGTGTTCAAAGTTCTATAAATCCAAATTATATTAATTTATTAAATCATATTTGTACTGAGTGCTTAGCATGTGTGTCAAGACCTGTGTTGAATGTTTTGGATAAAGAAACAGAGAAAATACAGTTTCTTGCCTTTGAGGAAACAGGCAGCAGAAAGATAAATCAACATCTTAGCGGGTAGGCAAAGCCAGGTGACAGAGCTGCCACTGTGCCCCGTAGGCCCCGTTTCAACCTTTATTATAAAAAATATGGTTTCCCATCAGTCCCTGCATGCAGCAAGAAGCCAGTTAGTGTTTGCTATTGATGGTGATGATTTGGTATTTTTCCAGAAGATTAGCTCTTAAATCAGACTGTTCACATTAAACCCCAGGTCAATTTCATCAGGAATTGTCACTCACTGGCATTTATGACCTTTTAGCTAAAGACTGATGTGCTAAATGAGCAAAGTTATCAACTCAATTTATTTAATATGGACGACATTGCAGTTTTCCAAGACAAACTTCTCCTTGAGTCTCCAAATTACCAGCTACTTCAGTGAACTGTCTTAATCATCTATTCATTGCAAAACAGAGACAAAGAATCTATCTCCATTTCTGTCACAGAGCCTAGGCAAGGTCTGGGCCCTTCCAGAACATATGTCTGTTTGTTATTGTGAATCAGTTACCAGCTTTTGGCATACCTCAGTTTCCCTGACTGTATTCTATGATTGTGGCCATATACGTATAATGGAGATAGAAAGATAATATCATAATGTTCCAGGGAGCTTTAAATAAAGCATTATGCATAAAAGGAAACAACCCCCACCCCTAAAAAAAAGAAGAAAAGAAAAACAAATTTTCTGTTAGGCATGCATTAGCCACCAAATGGCATTTCAGAGTTGCATTAAGAAATGTCAAAATGTCCAGGCTACTACCTGTTGGAGGCCAGTTCTCCATCAGTCAGGCATAATACAAGTACTGAATGAACGGATTCATTTATGAAGTTCCTTGTCCTACAGGAACTTCCTATTGACCAGAAGGAGACCATTGAGAGGCAGCCCAGCAAATCTCCACTGGTAGTATTTTTCAAGTGGCTTATTTCTATAACCTACTGTGTATGAGACATTGGAAGAGATAATAAGAATTCATTTTCTTACCTGAGAGAAAGATAAAACTCGATATGAGAATCAATCCATAAAGCCTCTGATATATGATGTGTTCTTTCATTGTTTAAACCTGTGTTCAAAAAGTCAGAAATACGCCCAGCTCAGATTCAGAACAATTTCTAAGTTTATATGACCACACTTCCCCTCTGCATCCCACCTAGGGATTTTTCCTACTGCTTAAAGCTATGTCAGCAACCCCCAGATAGACACTTACCTGAGTTATCCAGCTTGGCAGAAACTGCAGTGATTGATTTATCTGTACACTCACTCGATAAGTTTTATTGACTCCCTACTATGTGCCAGACACTGTGTTACCCACTGGGAATACAGTGCTGAGAAGACAAGACAGAGATATCTACCCTCATGGGACAGTTAGCTCAGTGGGGAAGACAGATATTAAATGCATAATTACAAAATGTGATGCATTCAATCATAATGCACACAGCTTCAACCTAATTACTTGCAGTTTTAATGGTCTTAAACTTTTTGAAGGAACACTATGCAAGACCTTATCGACAAAAGTGAAATCATCAAATCATTCCTATTTTTAAAGCAGATCTGTTTAGAGAAACCTGATCACCCTCTCATTATATTCATCCATTTTCTCTCTTTAATTAATTGTAACTGAAGATTCTTATTTAGGAAACATACTGAAAACACCCTTTTCCTTCAACCAAATTGGTGTTAAAACCACAAATCCTACCAAAACATATTACAGAAACTTGGCAGTAGGGTGCTGAAAGGCATTTTCTGATTTTAAATAAAGTACACTTCTGAATGATTTGCTACTGATTTAAGCATTTCTTTTCCTATAAGATAATGCAACATATTGTATTTTTTTTTTCCACTTCTAAGTGGGAGTTGGAGTGATAGACTCGCTTTACATTGAATGTAACAAGCCAATCAGGAAATCAAATGAATCTTGGCCTTGCTATGAGCACCAATCATTAAACAGGCTCTTTATATTTACCAGTGTTCTCCTGCCATTCTCACTAGAATAATAAGGGAATTTGTATGACTTTGATGGATTTTCTAAATTACGAGCTTAGAAATAAGGGAGTGTCTAAATCTTTTATGACTTGCAAGATGAAATGCAACTTACATTTGTAGTGCTATCAGAGGACTAGACTGAGAATCAGTAACTAGCTGTGAGAACGTACATATTTCTTATCCTTAATTTCCCTAGGCCTCAGTTTCCTTATCTGTAAAAATGGAGATAATAATCTGCCTATTTCCCAGAGCTGCTCTAGAAGAGGATCAAATGAGATGATAGTTTGAAGGCAATTTTCAAAGTATAAGGTGCTACAGAAATGGATATGATCACTATCTATAAAATGGAATTTTCAGCAGCAAACAATTCAATTTATATCTTTCCTTCATTTCCTCTAAACTTTTATAACAATTCTAAGGTGTGTTTCAGAAACTTACCTGGCACCAAATAAATAAATCATGGGACATTCACACAACAGAATACTATGCAGCCATTAAAAGGAATAAGGTAAGTCTGTATGTCAGGAGTAAAAAGGTGGGTTGAAGAAGGGGATAGGGGCTTGAGGACTTTTCTTTCATATACCATACAATTCTCTACTGCTTGATTCTTTTACAATGATCATACATTACTTCTATATATATATTTTATTTAATTAAAGGTAAGAATAAAGGCAGGAAGGGAAGGAGAGGTGAAGGGAGGGAAGAAAGGAAGGAAGAAAAAGAAAGAGATAGGAAGAGGGCCGGCCCGGTGGCGCACTGGATAGTGCGCCGCTTGGGAAGCGCGGCGGCGCTCCCGCCCAAGGGTTCGGATCCCACATACAGACCGGTTCCCGCTCACTGGCTGAGCGAGGCACGGGAGCAACACCGAGGGTTGAGATCCCGTGGCCGGTCCCGGTCCGGTACGGGCGCGACACTGAGGGTTGCGATCCGTTGCTGGACACGGAAAAAAGACAAAAGACAAAAAAAAAAAAGAGATAGGAAGAAAAGACAATAAAGAGATAGGAAGGCAGAATGGAAATTAAATGGAATTAAATAGTTTTCCTTTATATTTCCTACTATTTGATTATTTTACAATAAGCATGCATTACTTTCATAATTTTTAAAAATTTGAAAGGAAAGAGGAAAAGAAGAGAAAAAAGAAGAAAGGAAGGGCTGAGATTAAGGACTTGTATTTTATACCTCGTACAATTACATGCAATTTGGTTCTTTTATCAGCACCATACTCACCCAGTGAGCTAACCGGCCATCCCTATATAGGATCTGAACCTCTGGCCTTGGTGTTATCAGCACTGCACTTTCCCGAGTGAGCCATGGGCCGGCCCTAATTTGGTTCTTTTATGATGAATATTTGTTAATTCTATGATATAAATATTTTTAAGGAGAGAAGGAAGAAAGAAAGAAGGCAGCAAAGAAGGAGAGAGAGGAAGCGAAGGAGGGAAAGAAGGAAGGAAGGGAAGGAGGAAGTGAGGAAGAAAGACGCTTACCTGAGAACTGGACTCCTTTAACTTCCCACCACTGAATGACCAGGTCTGGTCTCTAAACTCCTACGTTTGATGTGTAATGGAACAGACAGAAAACAGGAGACTCGTTATCTGCTGACCATGTCTCGGTCACCTTTTCTGGATCAAACCATCCTCTCTGCTCTTAGCTTTATGGGGCTTATTGACCCTGGCAGATCCTCTTTTTGTGGCTTACAGCACGTCATGGGGCTGCTCTCCCAAGCCTGCAATCAGCATGAGCAAAGTTCTCAGGCTATTACATACCTGTAATAACCCATTAGTTTAAGGGCTCTTTCCCAGCTTTCACTAAGGATTATCTTCAGCTCCTAGCTGATTGTTGCTTTAAATAAACGGGATATATTAAATGGGTACTTGCTCACTTAACTAAGGCTTATTTCACATTATCGAGAAAATAGGAAGGAGGAGGGATGGTGTTCAGAACTAGGAGCAGAAAGTGAAGGCCAAGAAGGCATTAACATATTCACATTTCACACTGTCAGTAGGGTGAAGCCACTGTTTACCTCGCTAGAGATTCCTTCTTCAAACTGCCTTGAGAACAAACAAATTTACTGAACTTGTTTTGTATCATTCTCTAGAGGGGGATATAGTTTTTGCCCCACCAGTGTGTCATTACAGCCTCTTTGGGACAATGGAAAATCACCAAATCCCATCAAGGATCCACAGATGATCCCTGTGAGCCTTCACACTTGACAGATGCAGCCCCTGAGGTCTGGAGGGTAGAAGGACTTGCCCAAGGTCATAGAGCTTGTGAAAGGCAAAGCAGGAGCTAGAACCAAGGTCTCCTAACCCCCAGACTAGTGCATTTTCCTTACCATCTTGTGCCTTAAATGGAAAAATTCATTCTCATAGGAAGCTGAGTCAACCGATCTGTGGGCCAGGATTCTCCATAGGGAAGGGGGAAAGAGGTGTATCAGAACCACCCACTATTCACCCCTAAGCTCAGGAACTGTGATCAGTATAGTCGGTAACACTCCAGACTTTGCAGAAAGATAGGCTTGAGTTTGAATTTCAGCTGGGTGGCTCAGGGCCAGTTTCCTAATATCTCTGGAGCCCTCCAGTGTCCTCATTTGTAAAACACGGATAATGGAACTTACCTTGTATTGCTGTGAAGATGACATGACATAACTGTGTAAAGTGCTTGGCCCAGTGCCCAGCACAGGGTTCCAGTGCCACTGCTCCTGTCTAGGACCCCACTGCTTCTCCTTTCCATGAGACACAAGGCTTATGTTTTGTGACCTGACCCCTACACAGGGTCACCCAGCTTACACAGGGATGTGGGGCAATTGTAAAGGAACATCTTGGTGCTTCCATGGCATTTGTTTATATTTCACACTGTGTCTGCTTATTGGTCTGTTTCCCCCACAACACTAAGCTCTGGAAGGGCAGAAACTCCACATTATTCAGAGGTTCATGTACTGCCTGACACATAGAGGGCTCTCAATTAATATTTGACAAATGAATGAATATGCCTTTCTTCCCTGCTAGAGTGTAAGCTTCCTGAGGACAGGGAAATACATTTCTATTTTCCTTGTGCCCTGCCCCAGGAGTTAGCATGGTGCCTGACACAGAGTAGGTGCTTAATATCTGTTGAATTGAAAAAGAGAATTTAGAAGAGAATATATTCATATATACTTGGATATGTCAAGAAAATTCTCTGGAAGGAGACTCTGGTGAAAATAGTTGCTGCTAGAGAGGGAGACTGAGGGGTCTTGGGTGGTAGAGAAAATCATTTTTCACAGCATGTTTTTGTACTGTGAGAATTTTAATTATCTTCGTGTGTTATTTTTTCAAAGAAAAACAGTGTCTGTTTTGTTAAAAATCCAATGTAGCACAAATGAAATAATTGACTGGAAAATAAAACTTGTACCAAAAAAAAAAAAAAAAAGAAGAGGTTGGAATTCTTTGTTTGGGAAAAGAAAAATGCCACCTGGGAGGGCTTCAATGGGTATCTTCCATTCTCTGGAAGGTTATAAGGAGAATGTTGACCATCTGTTCTCCACATCTACAAAGTAATAGAAAATAGACTGAAACTGCAGTGGGAGATGTAAGTTAGACATAAATAAGTCATTATTGATGATAAGAGTTGATAAACACCAGAAAAGGCTATCACAGGATGTTATGAGCTATCCATCTCTGGAAATTCAAAGGCCTATATATCCATATGGCTCCATACACAGGCTGAGCTGAATGACTTGTTGAGACTCTGTCCCTGTTTCTGACCCTAGAAAGACCCTTAATCTGTTGAAGGTCCATTCTCTCTTTCCTTTCCTGGTGTAAGCATCCTACCTGGCCAACTGGGAGTGTGGTGATTTCCATAAAACATGGATCCCAAAGCCAGCTATTGAATTCTGGGCTCAACCACAGAAACAGCAAAAAGGTCCGATTTTAGAGGAAATGTGCTAGTAAAAAATCCCCTGTGCTAGTGAGCTCCTAAGAGATTTTGAAAGACAATTTTGTTTATATTTGATTGCTGCCTTAACACTTCCATGCAACTGATTGCCTGCTCACTGTCACTCCCATGCATACCTTTATACTTTTACTACATATGTGG